ACTAGATCTCAGACTGCTCTTTCACAGCCTTCTATAAGATTTTTCATTCTGGGGGGGAAAAAAAAAAAAAAAAAGCAAAACAGAAAACAAACAGCAACAAATAGTGACTGTTATGTCAGTGTGTCCTTCATGTGAAAGCTATTAAGGACCAAATATACTACTGTGTGTAAGAAGAAATTACTTCCTAAACAGTAAGTGAAATAGTTAGTTAAACTTGCTGTGGATTTTGTCTTGGCAGTTGTCATCTTACATTATTTGTCAAAGGAAATGTGTTTAGCAGTTAAAAATCTTTTCTTAGATTTAGTGGTGGACTTTAACTTCCTAAATAAATGTTAGTATATCAGATTGTGTCCTTGAAGAATATTTTACTTGTATGAATCATGATAATGTCTAAATCTTTACTATTCTTCTGGCAAAAGCATAAGTAACAGAAAAGGTGAAAAAGAGAAGTATAGCCTTTACATCAGAAAAAACATTGTTTTTTAGCTGCTTACTTTCTCATGAAAAGTAAAAATGTTTACAGTGTATGCCAAGATTTTCAGTTTCTATATAACAACAGTTAGAAGTTCTAATCATACTGAACATTGTGTTATAATGGCCTGAGCCATGTTGCTAGGAAACAATAGGTTCCAATTTTGTATTCCTGCTCTCACTCCTGTGCTGAAAAGTGGCTGGATACTGTACAGGTTCATGTTATCTGGCTGCAGTTAAATGGTCTTTTGCATTTTGCTCTGGTTTTCAGGCCAGAAGCATGCATTTTTCTACAAAAACATCACAACATACTGTAAATATTTAAAAGTTAAAACATTATGTGTCGATATTTGAAAGAAAAATGTACTTTGAATATTTTGTTTTTAAAAAATAAAATTGCAGACGAACACTGTGTCCCATTTTATTCATGTGCCAAATGATCTTCCCCAGTCAGTATGGTCACCTGAGATATAAAAAGTGGCTCCCTAACAGGGTACAATAAACCTGCATTATATTGAAAATGTAGGTGCAGAAATTTAACAGACATTAATCCTAAGCAGACATCTCTTTATTTTTGTTTTCCATAGAAATAGAATCTCTGACACAAATAACTGTTTAATAATAACAACAACAAAAAAAAAAGAATAGTAGCTGTTGAAAATTTAAATGCCTCTAGGCTGTGTCTTATAAAAAGGTTTGTCTCCTGTTGATGCCTTTCTGAGCAATAGAAAGAAAATCAAGAATTGTGCCCTGGCCGGTTTGGCTCAACAGTTGGAGAGTCAGCCTGCAGAACATAGAGTCCTAGGTTTGGATCCTGCTAGAGGCACATACCAAAAAAAAAAAAAAAAGAATTGTAAGATGGGGTTGGGGGAGAGTTAGGAGAGCAGGGCACCCAAATGCATTGGCAGAAAAATGGCAGGGAGAGGCAATCAGGAAAGACTCAAAAAAAAGAGCACTTCTGAGACCCTAGGTCCTGGGCAATTACAATGGCCATTTGGCCCCCACTTTAAAAGTAATACTGGGAAAGCTGGCCAACAGATCTTTCAAAATGCAACTTGCTAATAATGGGCCACTATAGTCCAAACAACTTATTCTTGAAACTGGCTTGAAATCCTGGACTTTATGTCACTCTAAAATGCCCTGCTCCCTTTCATTCACTGATATATGCACAGATACAGTGAAAACATTTGTGAAGCAAAAAGACAACCCCAATTGTCTCAACACAACCCATCAGCAAAGTGCAACACAGGGTGCGGGGTTAGGGTACATACCAGTATCATGTGGAAATTATTTTTTTCAAAATAATCATCCCGGCCTCAGAGCACAAAAAGAAAGAGGCAGGCACTCCTACACAGAGAATTATTAGAATTAAGAGATTTCTCCATATTCCCCATTCACTCTCACTTTGAGAGATCTTTGAATATTAATATTATTTAATAGTACTACTACTGTTTTCATTTAAATAATTCTAGAACCTCAATAATCCTGTGAGGTAAGCAATACTTAATTGTTCTTACCTGGCAAATGCAATAATAGTAACAGATTGACTTAAGGTAAATCTGAAAAGAAAATTCAAGTTTCATCTATTATGTTGATGGGCTCTCTCCAGTCTATCACATTTGTTATATATTTCTGCATAAAAATATTCATTTTTAAAGTCAAATGACCTAATGATGAAAATTCGGCCTTTCACTAGAATTTTGGCCAATGATCCCAAATTATGAAAGTGTCTAAACTGGGTCATTTAACTTCACCCCTAGCAGCAAACTGAGAAATAATTGTATCCCATTTATGGCAAGGGCAAACATAGGCAACAAAGTTGAATTTATAGTTCACCAACAGGAAGATTAAGTATCTTGTAACCTTGAAATGCTCAAGGGCAAATATAGGTTTTGTTATTAATAGACTCTGGAGTCTGAACTTAAAAAAGTGAATGTAATAAAACATAAGTTGATGTCTAAACATTTTAACAGATTTTAAAGCTTTCTCTTACACTTTAAATTCTCTATCCATTCTACCACAAATATATTAAATCCAGCCCTCTATTTATACCAGAACACTTCATCAGAGGTGTTCTCTGTAGACTCGCTCTACCTATGTTCTGCTACCACCAAGGTTCCTTGCTTATAACAGCCAAGTTGACAATTACCTAAGCTGGTCTCCATACTGGCCTTATCTCTTAAGAACAAATTTCAGAGGAAATGAATGATTAGTTGATCAATTGTCATGTTCCTTGTGGGCTTGCTGACACACTTTTTTTTTTTTTCCTGAAAAAATGTCTACACTTGAAAATATATGAGCATTTTTCTATCTTGACTCAGCAACTTAAAGGTACATGTTAGCATGGCAATATTTTAGATATGGCAAGGATGTGACCTTTCTGTAAAGGTGCAAGCTATTATATGCTGAGAAATAGCATGAATGTTCATGCTGGGAAAGAAATCGTGAAAGGAACTTGATGAAAGAAGGCCAGCAAAAGAAGACAGTGGGTAAGCACATCAACTGGAAGGTATGACAGTAGCAAAATCAGGAGAACACTTACCTTTTTCAGGGAATCTGTCCAATAAGGTAAGTAATATGGCTTTCATCAATGCTTTAATAAATGAATAGCACCTACCTCAAAATATTTTTAAGAAATATTTTAAGACAAATTAGGTAAATAAAGCTTTGAAATACTTTATTAAAATATGAAAGACCATTAATAATTCAAAAAAGCTTTACCAAAAAAGGCTCTGATAAAAGAACAGGCAAACATAATTCATATATTTAGGATTATTTCAGAATGAACAAATTAGAGCAAAAAATAGTTACACCTATTAAAATTTAAACGAGCCCTGGTCAGTGTGCTCAGTGGATAGAGCATCAGCCTGAGCACCAAAGGGTCTTGGGTTTGATTCCCAGTCAAGGGCACGTACTGTTGCAGTTTCAATCCCTGGCCCCAGCTGGATCAAATGCAGGAGGTAACCAATCAATTTGTCTCTCTCACATTGATGTCTCTCTTTCTCTCTCTCTCTCTCTCTCTCTCTCTCTCTCCCTCCCTCCCTCCCTTCCTCCCACTCCCTCTAAAAATCAATAGAAAAAATATCCTTGGGTAAAGATTAACAAAAAAAAGAAATTTAAACCCAAGCTACAAATAAGTAAAAAGTATCTAAACATATACATTTTATTTTGAAAGTCAGCTTTCTAAATTTCTTGACAAGTCAAAAATGGTGCTTTTACTTCTAGAAATGGTAAATGGCCCACAATACATTGTACTTCTATAGCATCCACGAAAAATGCTCAGAAATCAGATCTTGCCAGCATATGAAGAGCTGTTCTGTTTCTTGACAGTTCACTAATTATTAACCAAGCTCACCACCACCCATCTACAACCCAGAATTCCAATGTATTCATTTACAATGAAAGTTAGCCTTTTCTTCGGAACCATGGACCAGGTCTTTTGTGTTGACTCATTCTGCCTCTAACGACAGATGTACCTACATATTGGTGGACTCACCATGTACTTATCACCTTTTATTGTTATTTTCTTGTCATTTAATTGTTATTTTCTTTTGTCTTTTATTGTTACTGTTTCTTGTCCAACTAGACAGTGAGCTGCCTGAGTGCAGGGATCAGGTGAAATTTTACTTCTCTACTCCAGTGACAATTGTGTTTGTTGAGTGAATGAATTCTCTGAGCCCTGAAGCAACTTGACATATAATCAAACCACAAGAGTCATGGAAACATAAAATATGAAAAGAAAATACAAATCCCCATCATTGTGTAAAATCTTGACTCTCACTTAGGTTGCAATCACTTGGAATGGTTAAAAATTAACACAACTGCCCTGGCTGGTTTGGCTCAGCAGTAGGAGCGTTGGCCTGTGGACCAGAGAGTCCTGGGTTCGGTTTCCGCTAGGGGCACATACCAAAAAAAAAAAAAAAATTAACACAACCATAAGCTATCCAATAGTCTGTAGAGCTACTTAATATGGAGATCACTCAGAAATCAGCTCCTCCTGAGCCACCACTGAGGAGCCACAGCTGCTGAAGCTTCCCCTTCAAAATAAGGTTTGACATGATGTAGCAACAATTGGGGCAGGCAGAGGAAAATGAAAAGTCAAGTCCACTTCACCAGATTCACAACATAGTCTCCAATCCTGTAGCATCAACTGTAATAAACATTTAGAGAATATTTTAAGGTATGGGGTTTTAAACTCCAGATTGGTCAGAACATTAGGCAAGAAGGTGGCTTTTGGACTTAAACAGAAATTCTTTACTCCTTATTTAGTACTTGTTTTAGACTACAGTGGACAATTTCATGAATCACAAAGGAATCTACAACACTATAGCTAGTGTAGAGCTAGTTGACTGCCAGGTAATCAAGTAAGAATTTAAAAATCAATAGCTATTATGCCGGCCGGTGTGGCTCAGTGGTTGAGTGTCGACCCATGCACCAAGAGGTTGCAGGTTCAATTCCCAGTCAGGGCACATGCCCAGGTTGTGGGCCCGATCCCCAGTGGGGGACATGCAGGAGGCGGCAAATCGATGTTTTCTCTCATCAATGTTTCTGTCTCTCTCTCCCTCTCCCTTCCTCTCTCTCTCTCAAAAAAAGAAAAGAAAAAGAAAAAAAATCAGTAGTTATCAAATAATATTTCGCTAGAAATGGTGTTTTTGAGAAAAACTGAGAATTGTTTTTATTTATATTTGGTAAGAATTAACATTAATCTTTTATAAAGTGTCATAAGGTTTAAATTGTTTCCCATTCATAAATATAACTAAAAATAACCAGTGGAATTACTTTTTCCCAATCCTCATTTTGAAGCTCCTCATTATCCATAAAGTTCATTTCAGCTTTAACATCATGTTATATGCTTCCATTACAGGACTATAATGGTTTTAGAAATGCATTTGTAGCTCACTGAACTGTATTATCTACAATATATAAGACTTAGCATATATTTAAATTATTGAAAATAAAGTACAAGGTCTTTTATTTTTCTTCATGGCGCTTTCAGGAAGACATCAGGATCTTCTCTTCTCCCTAAAGAAAAATAATAACGAGAATCAAGAAAATATAAACTTACAAGCAATTAAGATTACTGGTTAACTCAAACTTATAATCATAAAATTTCCAACTGCATAAAGCTCACAGAGATACAACTCAATTATATAGCTCAAGGAGCTAGTGTTTAAAAGTGAGTAATAAAGAATAGAAAACTGAGCAGAAAAGAACAATTAGCCAATTTGTCAACTGGAGTTCTATTTCCATTTCTATTATAAAAGCCAACTATTCATTAATTTAATTTTCCACTTGAGTCTAATTGTCAGTTTATGCTTGAGCCTGGGTCCCTGTCTACAAAAGGATATAATGATTCATTTTCTTTTATCATAAATATATATTGTTTCAATCAGGCATATCTTCTTACTCCAAACAAATTATTAACCCCTTCCAATAGATGAGTAAACAATTACATATCTGATGGCTGCAGACGTTAGCTAGTATTTAATCCTTAGCTTGACACATGCACTAAAATAGCTTTGCTCAAGAGATGTAACAATTTGTGCCTGTGGAATAATAAAGTCTACTAATTTCATATATTTTTTAAAATGTATCTTTATTGTGGAAAGTATTACAGATGTCCCTCCTTTTTTCCCCCATTGACAACCCACCTTCCCACCCCACCCCCACCTTCACCGCACCATTGTCTATGTCTATTGGTTGTGCATACATGTATATAAGTTCTTTGGTTCATCTCTCCCCCTACCTCTTCCCTCTGAGGTTTGTCAGTTTGTTCCTTACTTCCATGTCTCTGGATCTATTTTGTTTGTCAGCTTATTGTGTTCATGAGATTCTACATATAAGTGACATCATGTGATACTTGTCTTTCTCTGTGGAATAATAAAGCCTACTTAATTCATATCCTTTGCTACAATAAAATTTTATTAATTCAAGCACCACAAATTCAGAAATCAGGATCACCCAGGCCAGGCTAACATTAGTTATGCCTTCCATGAAGAAAAAATATAGTTTATTAAGCAAAGGTAAAGGACACCCAGGTGTTCTCTGAATTGTCCCATCTTGTACATTATTTGGTCTGAATTAGCGAAGTGAAACGATGCTTATGTATTGACAAAAGAAAATGGGGAGAACAAGATAGAACAAAAGGTTAAATGTTGTGGGCTCATAGAATTTTTTTACATCTTTGTAGGAATTTTTTACTCTAAAAGCTCTTTTTTTAAAATGTTTAATTACAATTTACATTCAATATTATTTTGTATTAGTTTCATTAAAAGTTTATAATACGGCATGCTGAAATCAAAGCATGGAAATAGTCCTCTCCCCTCTCACATAATTTCTAACATTTACTTTCTTATTGCATTTCTTCTAGAACTTCCTATAATTATATGTTTATAACTAGGTTGACTCATAACCCCAAGCTTCCAAACCCTGACCAAGATTAACAATGGGGTGGGGATCTGGGAGGAAAAAGGGAAGGGGACTAAGAAGTACAAGCTTCCAGTTATAAAATAAGTCACGAGGATGTAAAATACAGCATAGAGAATATAATAAAAAATATCATAATAACTATGTATGGTGTCTAATGAGTACTAGACTTATTGTGGTGATTTTTTAATAAGGTAATACATGTTGAATCACTATGTCATAAACCTGAAACTAATATAATATTGTATGTCAACTGTAATTAAAACAAAAATTTGAAAAATTAACAGTAAACCATACCTGTAGTACCTTGTGTACTTCTAGCTGAGGACTTCTCCACTGGATACTGTAGAGGTATTACAATACCTTGATTTGGCTTCTGAAATGCTGAAATGAGATTTTTTATTTTCCGGAAAAATCTTTTATGAACCCCAGGTGCTGTCTGGAAAATAAAAGGCCAAGCAAATTATTGAACTACCTCATAATGATACAAAAAGCCCTACAACATGTATGAGGGATGCTTAGAGAGATAACATTTGTGTAACTTGTTCAAATATTTAAAAACATAAGGAAGAAGAAAAAACAACGCCCCAGAAGAGCTAACTTTAGTTGGCTGAATTTTCCTGCAAGAGGAGCTAATGAGCTGTCATTTTAGTTCTCCCAGGGGTGGTGTTACTTTGTACTAGCTTTTGCTCATTGCCTTGCCCTTCCTGCCTGCTACCCATCATGTATCCTGAACCTCTAAGGGTATACAGGCCATTACCCACAATGAATTCACCAACTTAGAAGATGCAGTTAAACACAGAGAGAAAAAAAAAAGAAAAAAACACAGATCCTACAGGTCATTAATAAAAAGCCCGAAGAGCAAACAAACAAACAAAACAAAACAAAACAAAAACACCATCACGTATCTTCCCTGTCATCATCCCACAATATAAAATGCTACAGAGGAAATTAAAATTGACTGTTATGATACACACAGTGCATGGCTAGTTAGTCCTTACATGTTTACCTCATAATATGTCCTGCCTCATCCTTCACATTAAACTTTTTCCTCCTTGGGAAACTTCCGTTTCCTCCCCAAAATTATTCTTTCCATCAACACTTCACTGTGACAATGCTTTATCTATGACACAAAAATGAAAGACTATATAAGGTCACCCTTATTTATTTGTTTGTTGTTGGAGACATCATTATTTGCAAGTGACTATAAAAATGCATTCCTTTCCTGACATCAGTTCTCTTGCAAAGACACAACTTGAAATCAATAACAATTTCCTGCAATGGCTAATGAGCCAAGCCTTAGGTTTTAGCTCAAAATTGTCATTTTACATGGAATAAAATAGTATTGCTATAAGCAATTGAACAATGACTAGTTTTTTAGAAAGCTGTTTTTCAGCTATTCCATCTGGAAGATTTTTGAGATGGAAGCTGTTTGTTAGCATTTAATTAGAAAACATAAACGCTGCCATGCAGACTTCTGCCAACTAGACTAAAAGTTGAAGATAGTACACTGTCCATAGTAACTCTCAGTAATTTTCTACATTGGGGTAAGTAATTTTTCATTGAAAGCACTGGAAAAGTTCTTTTTAGCTTTAAACTAGTGTCTACTCATAGACTCACACAACTAGGAGCATCAGTAGGTATAGACCACTCTTGCACTCAGCTCCACCCCTATGGTAAAAACACCTTCACAAAACTGTACCTCATCTAAAATAACATGGCCATTCTTACAAGGGTCCAAACAGTTCTTTAGCTCCAGTATAAAATCTCCAAATTGCAAAGGCAGGTTATAAGTACAAAATACCTCCTTATATCTTCCTTAGACCACTTTTTTCATTTTCAAAGCACTTCCCCATCTCTTGCCCCTACTGGTTCCTCTGAGATTGGCAGTTATTGGCTTATTTGGTTATTCTCATTTGACAGATTAAGAAAATGGAAATACAAAAAGATAATTCAGCTTGCCCAAGGTCCCACACATGATCAGAGGCAGAACTGGCTCTAGATCCCAGGACCTAGTCTCTTGTTTTTCAGATCAGGACTAGACCAAACAGATTGTAGTGAAGTTTAGAGTCACCAACCAGAAGAGAAACTATACACTTCCCCAGTGTGAAAAGATTTCAAACCACACATCTTTTTAGCTGTTCTTGTGGCCTGTAGAATCATTTATCAACTTTTTATGGGGACTTATATGGTGTTAACACTTGATTATCTATGCTAACAGAGAGGAATGATAACACTGAATGGATAAAAACAATTTGAATTTGAGATGAATGTTTCATTGGCAAATGGCTGACCTCATTTATAGTGCTTTGCTTAGGTTAATGAGCAAAGTTATTTAGCATCTACTGATCTACTGATGATCAAATATCCAGAAAAGCTTAAAGGCACTAAAGTCAGCAGGGGAAAGTTAGTACAGTTATTACAATGCACTGCTGGCAATGCATATTAATAAATGATAGGTGACTATATTTAGAATTCTATGGATTGACAATTTAGCAAAATTTTAGCCTGAGTTGCATGAGAGAAGTTAATACACTAAGCAATGATGAAACCTAAAAGTCTATTTAAAACTAGAAAGTTGCATATATATTAGTCTTTGATAATTCAGTGTATCCAGTGTTCAATTTTATTCTACTCTTTGAAACAAATCTCAGACTTACCTAGATTTTTTGCACAATCATTGCACAGAGGATGGAGTGCTACTGCCATGATCTTTTGTGCAGTGTGGAACTAAAGCATTGTTCCAAAAGCAGTGTAAATATCTGTCATTTACCTATTTTTGAAATATGTTTACCACATGAATTGTACAACTGACAACTCCCATCCTGTCACTGAACTCAGCTACTGTTAAAATTTTCACATTTCCCATATTGTCATCTTTTAGTTATCTGTGGAAACATGTTTTGGACCATAGCTGGTCTTCAATAAGCTCTAGAGAAATATCTTCCAGTCAGGTGATGTGAGTTCTGAGAATACACACTAGTTTAATATTCACCTCAGCAAAAACACAATAGAGAAGGCAAATTTAGCAGACAGGAAAAAAAATGCAATATGCATTTCAAAAATAAATCTAAGGAGTTTTTTAAAACTGTTTTCCCTTTGGGGGGGGGGGGGAAACCATGCCAATCTTGTGCTCTCTTGGTGCAGACAATTACAATACTTTTTTATAAACAAGGTCAAAACAGACAACAGCATGAGACGGTATTTATGTTTATTAAGTCTTCTCTTTTTTAACATGATCACAAGCATGTAACAATCTGCATATAATGTTATACTTGAAATGAAAGAAAACAACTTTGACCACAAGGTTAGCTAAAACCAAATAATTTAAGACCTTTCCATAAAGAATATTATTCATCAGCTGAAGGCCACTTTTCCAGTGAGAAGAGTGATACCAGGTCAAATTACATACAAATATATGTATAGATATCATAAATGACCATTCTTCATAATAAATCAAATTTAATTTCTTAATCATCTCTGCAGTGATGCAGAGAACTTCTTAAAAATAAACATGTATAAATAGTTTTTATTAGAAATGATACTTTCTTTTCCTCTAATTAGTATTGCAATATTAATTATCCTGCTATAAAGCAACAGTGTGTTTGAAAAGTTACCCTAATTCATCTGAGTAGTTCAAAACATTTGTAGTCTGAAATTTGTGCTTTCTGGTTTCCTGATGAATTTGTAAAAGTTAGAACTGTTTTAATTTTTAAGTTTAGGATTTAGAGCTTCTTAAATGCATGGATTAATTGAGTTATTTTCAGACAGCTCCCAATGAAATGCTCTTATTATAAAGGCAGACTATTTTAAAGAGTCAGATAACAGAGAAAACATTTGAGGTAAAAAGTTTCAGTTGTGGAGATCTCTACATTGGTAATGCATGATATAATGCCCTCATGCATGGAAATAGATTAATTTCTTGCCATGATACAGTGATTTTCAAAGCCATCAGAACCCATTTTTCTAATGAAACCTTATTCAGAACTCTAATTGACAAGCAAAATAAAAGAGAACTGCACATACTAAAGATAAATAGTGGACAAAAAACCCTACCTGCCTACATCCTTCTCTTCTTCTGCAACCCCCCAGGCAACCCCAAGGCAGGTAGAAGAACATTGGGATTTTGCAGAGTGTAGCTTAAAAACCACTGCAATGTTTCCTCTATCTCTAGTCCACCTCTCCATGTCCTTCCCATTTGGCTCAGCCTGGAGTCCTGCCTTCACACATAGAGCAGTCCTGATTACCCTAATACTTCAAAAACCTTCCCTTTTTTGAACTCCTATGGTAGATAAGGTAGCATTTGATTACATACAATCATATTGTTAGCAATTTGGGAAAGTTCACATTTTTGAGGGATTACCGTTCTAGGTACTGTGGCTAAGAGCTTTCTTTATAAGCATTATTGCATTTAATTTTCAAACTAAGCCTTATAAATAAGGGATTATTTTTAGGCACATTATATAGATGAAGAAACTGGTTCAAAGAAAAGTTAAGTAAGCTGCAAGTAAACTGCCCAGGGTAATAAACCTATCAGGGAGGAAGGGGAACTGACTTAGAGCCCTGATCTACCTGACAGCAAAGTCCAGGCTCTCACATTGCTGTTTAATTCATGTTGTATCTCCCAAAGGGTATTTATTACAAGCATTTAGAAAATAGTCCCCCTAGCTTAATGAATAAGAAAGCATGACTTGTATATATGTTGTTCACAAGAGAACTACCTCACAACAAAAGACTCACATAGTTTGAAAGTGAGGAGACGGAAAAAATGTTCCAAGCAAATAAAAAGGAAACAAAAGCTGGGGTAGCAATAGTCATATTTGATAAAATAGACTTCAAAATGAAGGCCATAGCTAAAGACAAAGAAGACCACTACATATTATTGAAAAGATTTATCCAACAGGAGGATATAACTTTGGTTAACATATGTGCACCTAATATAGGAGCATCAAAATACATTATAAAACTTCTGGAAGACTACAAAGGAAAACCGACAGCAGTACAATCAGCAGGGGACTTCAACACCCTGCTGACATCACTGGATTAATCCTCTAGATAAAAATTTAACAAGAAAACAAAGACTCTAAATGATTAATGAGATCAAATGGATTTAATACATACCTACAAAGAATTACATCACAAAACTGCAGAATTCCCATTTTTGTCAAGTGCCCATTGGACATTCTCAAAGATAGACCACATGTTAGGACACAAACTAAGTCTCTACAAATTCAAAAAGATTGAAATCATAAAAAGCATCCTCTCAGATCACAATGGCAGCTAACTATAAATCAATTACAGTAAAAACACTCAAAAAACATTTAAACACATGAAGACTAAATAGCATGTTATTAAACATGCTATTTCTAATTTCTTCCTTGATCTCCTTGGTAAGGAAGAAATTAAAAATTTCCCGGAAAACAATAAAAATGAACACAC